TGTATCTCCCCAACTTCAGTGTTATTGTCACTTCAGTAACGCATGCTAAAACATACCAAAAAGCACCAACATTGCATCATTCAGAGTTGCATCACTTCCCCTCTTAAGCTACTTTTTCCAGTCTAAAAGATGAAACTTGGAAGAAATGAGGATGCAGGCTATTTAAGACTGAAACAAACAACTTAAAGAGCCATCTCATAGTCCAGGCTTACACATATGCTAAATAAGCCAGTAGTCTTCAACCTTTAACACTGTTAGACATGAATGTATTTAATCACGTTCCACAGCACCTCCCTAAAAGTTCAGTTAACGCATCATTGCCTTTTCCATAAAGGAGGCTTCTCCCTCATTCCCTTACTGCTTGATGCTGTTTTGTTTCTTCACTGAGTGTTTTCCGTCTCTCTTCTGCTTGTACCCGTATCTGCTCATTCTTCAGCTGTTCTATGGCAGCTTCATACTCCTGTTAAGGTAAAGAGAGAATCATCACAACAGAGCTCAACAGGTCACCCTATGGAGAAACGCTGGTGACAACTGCACAAGAAATGCCCGGGGAGGACTGGCTGTCCAATGAATGATGAGTTCCAACGTACCTTAAGCTTTGTTTGCTGTTCCAGCTGCAGGGTCTGCTCTTGCATCTGGGCGAGACTAAGAGCATCTTTGGCATGGCCTGAAGTCAACAGTGGGAGGAAATTATTGTCAGTACAAAGGTATTTAATCAAAGAAGAAAACACCCGGTCTAGCCAACCTTCAGCCCAACCTCTCACAAGCTGAGGGTGCCCGATGCACAGCACAACAGCCAGGTGTAAACCCTCCCTGCTGACAGGGGGTTTGGGTTGAAGGGACCTCAAAGCTCATCCAGCTCCAACCCCCTGCCACGGGCAGGGCCACCTCCCGCTAGAGCAGCTTGCTCCAAGCCCCCTCCAGCCCGTCCTCACCCGGTGCCCCCTCCCAGGCCCATGCCCCGGATGAACCCAAACACGTGGAGGGCCCACGCTCCGCTCCGCTCCGACACCGGGCAGGCCGCGAGGCACCGCCTCCCCCCCGCCCCGCGGCCGCCCCGTGCCCCCTCACGCACGGGACGCATCGAGCTCCCGCGCCGCCTTGGCCGCCCGCTCCAGGCCCGTGGGGTCGAAGTTGCTCCATTTGTCCTTGGGCTGCTGGCGCTCCCCGCCCGCGCTCCCCGCTGCCGCTCCAGCCCCGCCGGGGGCCGGCGGCAGGGACAGACCGGAGCCGCCGGGGGCTCCGTCCCCGCCGCCCGCGGGGGCCGCGCCGCGGTTCAGCCCGAACAGCCACGACATGAAGGCGGCCGGCGGCGCACGCAGCCGAAGCACGGACGCGCCGCTCCCAGCGCGACGGCGGCACGGGCGGGCTCCTATTGGACAAGGGAGACGTCGCGCGAATCGCGTCACCACGCCCGCCTCCTGATTGGTCAGCGGGAGGAATTTGATTGGCTGTGGAGGAGGAGAGTGGGCGGGGCCGCTGAGCTGTGTGGGGACGGAGGGCGGAGAAGGACAAACTAGGTACGGGGCGCCCTCCCTAGCAACGGGCGCGCTGTGGGGTTGCTAAGGGCGGTGAGGCGGATACGGGGCGGCGGCTGCGATGGGGAAAACACCCAAAATAATGGGGAAAGAAAGGGGAAAGGAAGAGATGGAGCGGTAAAAGTCACAGCTGTAAGGCTCGTGTGTGAGACCCCGCGGCCTGGAATGCTGTACAGCATAGAACACAGCCGGAGCGTGCTCGGCGATGGCACACGGGCAGGGACAGGCAGCCAAGTGTCCGCCTTTAAATGGTCATATTTCTTCCTAAACGCACACTTAACTCCCTCAAAAAGTTCCTGCAGGATGCTTGGTGTTTATATCGGACTTATTCTTAATAATAATATCGTTATAATTTACTGCTGGTGGCCCAGGAGGCTCATTTCTTGCCCCACGTATAGAAATAATAAATAAATCAGTGCTATTTCTTGCTCTAAATATATATATGTGTCTGTATATGTATATTTATACACACATATGTATATATACACACATATACACGCATATATATGTATAGATACATATACATACATATATATACATATATACACACACGTATATACACACATATATATGTATATATACATATATACACATACATATACATACATATATATGCATATAAACATATACACGTATGTTTATATTATACATACATATATATGTATATATGCACATACATGTGTGTATATATATGTAAATAAATGACTCGGTGATTCCCTACTGCCGCATTCACCCATGCAGTGGCAGAAGCAGCTGATGGCTGCTACAGACCTATTCCTCCCAATGAAACCAGATTTTCCCTGCGGTTTTCTCATTTCCATCTTTAGTTTCTCACCTTGGCTCCGTGCATGGATATCGAATGGCTCATAATGATCTATTTGATGGCAGCACTGCAAAGTGCAACAGGAAAGCCCAACTCACCCACTGACAATTGCCCCTGCAGGCTGTTTATGAGCCCATTTCGCTGTCCACGATCAGGCTCCCCACTCAGCTTGTGCCATCAGCACCAATTCTGGACTGAGGGAACCTTTTCCTTCACCTTTCCTGTGTGATAAAGACATTCCCTGAGCTTCCACACCTTCAAGGTGCCCCCTGGCTTCTATTTCCTAGTGAAGCTGTCAGAGTTAAGCCTGTTTGTAGCAGGCAGGCATCCACTACAGTCAATTAAACACCAAATACAGATCAAACCCTTCTCACACTGCTGTGAGCCACCAGCTCGTGCATCTGAACTCCAGCTGTGCTTGTACAGTACAGTGCAGGTACGGTCGTCCATGCACATAGAAGTGAGCTCCTCCTGGGAGCCACGACGGGTTGTGCTCTCACCCTGTGTAGGCGGTTGGGTGTCACACCCATGCTATCAGCACAGAGATGCTCAAATAGCCCTAGAAATCATTAGGCTTGAGTTAAACCGAAGTTAATTTAACTCACCTGTCCCCCTTCAATGTTCCTGTCCACGAGTACCACCGGTTCTGCCAAGATTTAAGGGGTATTTACTCCTTGGCTCCTTATTACTGAAGCTGAGACATTGAGACTGATATATTTCTACTTAGATACTTGACACCTTTATTCGGGGGAGTTCCGTGTAAAGCAGACTGGGAAAGCCTGGGAGGAATGCTTTCCTTCCAGTGAGGAATACTTCTCATTAGGACACGATTGCTCAGTAATCGTTCGGTAGCTCTTGTGCTGTGTGTTTAATTGCCTTCAAAATGATGCATTACAATTGGGCGGCTGACACGTTAATGCACGAGTAAACTAGGCAGGGAGCTGTGCAGAGCTGCTTTGTCCTACAGCAAGAATGAACAAGATTATCTTATTGCAGGAGCGATTCCAGAGGCTTTATCTTCCCCTCGACACAGGCTCCGTGCACGTTAATCAGTCACAAACACGCATTCCAAAGGAGACACAAAGCTTCTTATCGAGTTAATGAATGACTTGCTTCCCTCCTATCCCTTCCTCGTCTACAAGAAGGCAGCCCAAGGCGAAAGCTCCATAGAGCTAGACGTGATGAATCCGGCGCTCAGGAGACAAGGTCCTCACGGCTTGCTAAGGAGCTGCTTTAAGAAGTCCCTAAGCAGAGGGGCTGCAGGATGGAGACCCGCTGTGTGGGGGCTCTCCAATGTACAGCTTAAAACCACCATTCCATGTGCAGGACAAATAAGCAACAGAGCTAAACCAGGGCAAGCATTGCTGAGGGAAGGTGCTCCCAGTGATGTGGGGTTTGTTAGCAGAACTATGGACATGTCTTTACAGCCCTAAGCCCTCAGTTTTGGAGCTACGCTCATCCAACAGCTTTGTTACTAGGTATGAAAATTGTCCTTTCTTCCCCCAGCTCCCTTTTTGCAAGGAGTAGCTTCATGACAGCAAATTCGAGCCAGGGGCCAAAGGGGAAGAATGAGATTTACTCTTCTCCCCTAAAATCCCTATTTTTAAGTATAGCTCAAGCTTAGCAGTGAGTGGAAGCCAAGACACTAAAGACGTGCTGGGGGTTTTCAGAGGCTAGAGCCTGGAATGATAGCACTGGGTACCTACTGCCCATACTTAGGCTAATTAAGCTCCACATAGCTGCTCTGGTAGCAGGGCTTGCATTCAGTTTGATTAAACTAGTTGCAGATAGGTCGCAGTAACGCAACGGTCGTGATCCAGGCAGCCCTGCGCTGGGGCTGGGAGGTGTGTAGCTGAATGAGAGGCAAAACTACCTCCTGTAGATGCTCTTGCTGTCTGGCTTTTCTTGCCTCTCTGCTGCTCAATGAACTCAGCTGAAGGACGCGAGCTCTAGAGTGGAATAACCTGCAGGGGAAGGAAATTCCCAAGGTTTTGACTTTCCTGCTCTCCCAGACAAAGGGCTTGGGAAATTCGAGCCCTTCACAGTCCCTCTGGGATCTGTACCTCATTCCAGCACATGGACCTAATACCAGTGCCACAGGGGGAAGTGGAGCAGCGTTGATGGGACTCAAGAGCTCAGCAGGCAGAGCGTGAGCAAACCTCTCTGCTGGAGCCCCCTGACAGCGCTCATCCACGCCAGCATGGCCATATCGCTCCTGAGCTCTGCCATAAACCAAAGCCCAGCTGGGAACCCTGAACTGTCCTGGCACTCTATAAGAGGCAGGATGGTTTTTAGGGTGTCTCCTCCATGTCCTGGCCAAAGGCTGAGTGTGTTAACAACCGCTTTTCCTCCTCTTCCCAGAAACCCTGGTGGCTCTGACCCAACCTCCTCTGCATACCGTACATTTCTTTCCTGCTACTCCTCTTCCTGCTAATGCTTTCCCCTAATGCTATACCTTTGAGAGGCCTCCTTTGAGCTACCTGTGGAGTACAGTGGACAAGTCGATGGGAAGCTGCTCTTTGGCAGGCTTCAGCTTCAAGGGCAGTTGACAGCAGGAATGGATTTGGCCATGTGTCCCCTTTCCGAGGGCAGCTGCCCACAAGGGTAGGGCAGGGCAGAAGCAGCCCGGTGTGAACATGTTCCTAAGCTGCAGGAATAAAACGGCATCAACGTTTAATAAATAGAGCATAGGCAGGAAGCAAGCGGGAGGGAGGATTCAGCACTTGGCCTTTGGTTTGTTATTTGTCAGGCATTGATATAGAAGAGGGTACGGATTTGGGATGTATTGGTCGGATCGGCTGCTCCTTCCAGCCAAACCAAACCTTTAAGCTTTGGGAGCACTCGGCTTGAGGCCAGCCTTGAGGCTTGACAACCAGGACACCTCAGCGGACAGCGCAGGCTGGGAGATGATCTGGGAGCTTTCCAGTCTCCTTCCTGACCCCTCCTTTTTGTCCAAGTCTTTGTCCAAGCAGGAGCCCTTGCTCTGCTGGGAATCAGTTCGTTCCAGGTACCGTCACGCTCGCTGTCTGTGCTTATACCCTTGGGCCTCTGTAGCTGGAGAGAGCACAACAAACATAACGTCAGCTTGATCCATGCATTCTCCAACTGCGACTGGGTCACAGACCTCACCCCCGTGGTCACCATCACCACTCCAGCTGCTTGCTGGGGAACAGGCTGTGCCCCTGTGCTGTCACACAGCATCTGAGCTCTTACTTCAGTCGAGAATCCCTCTGTGCTTCATGACAGTAAGCAGCTTCTAGGCAGTGGGAGGAAGAAGGATGTGCTGCGCCTTAGTAGCTGTGTTCAATAGCGGCTAGTCCCTGCCACGTTGCAAAGTGAAGGGCAGCCAAGAGTTGGAGTGACTTTTAAACAGCACTTCCAATGCCCATGCCAGCTCTTAGCAATCCTCCTTATCCCAAAGGAAAGGCCGGCCTGTCTTCACCGCACCCCTTTTCCCCTGCGTGCAGACACAATGCCACTAGGAGGAGCATTGCTCTTAAACACGGGGGCCAGACCCGGCTTTGGGCAGTCCCTTTGGGCTGGCAGCTGCGATGAAGCCCTGTTGGCAAGGCAGCTGATGAGCGCAGAGTATTGCAGCAACGGGGGGCCCCTCTGTGCTGGATGCCCAGCACTTCAGTGCCCTTCAATGCCCTTTCCCTTGGCTAAAGTGCCCCAGGACCCCCCCTCCTCCCCAGCTCACCTGGCTGCATGCGCACCGTGCGGCACAGCCCTTTGCCTGCCTGGCTCCTGTACACGGGCTTCACGCACACCCGGTTGGTGGTGCCCGCGGGCAGGTCGGTGAGGAGCACGCTGTGGATGCGGGGGGACACGCTGAGCACGGACGAAGGGCCCGCTTGCCGCCGGCATCTCACCCTGTAACCCAGGACGTCCCCGTCGGCAGGGTCCCAGGAGGCTTTCAGGGTGTCGGGGCCCATGTCCTCAAAGCGAAGGTGCCTCACGCTGGAGCCCTCTGGAGACAGAGGATTCGTGTTACTGGGGCTGTCTCTATGGAGCGGTCCGCACCGCCCAGCGCCTTGCTCCTCCCGAGGAGAGCAGCCAGCCTGGTCCTTGTAGTACACCGTAACTCATCCCTCCTCAACTTTGCCCTGGTACCAGCATGAAATGCTTTTGGTGGCGCTGTTAGGCACGGGCTGGCCACCCCCCACACCTTCAGCTGCCATTCTCTGAGCTCCTCACTCTTGAGTGCTGAGAAGAGCTGGGTTTTACCTCCTGCAATATCTTTATGGGAACCCCTTCAGAGCAGAAGCTTCTGCTGGTGAAATGTCCCCCCCTCTGATGCTCAGTCACAGCAAAGAGCAGACACGGAGGGGAAAGGAACACAGAAAGCTGCCTTTCCCTCCTTAGGAAGATTCAGGGACCTCCAAATCCACTCTGTTCGTGACTACACCAGCAGCTTGGCAGCATGCGCCCCGTAATAGCAGTCACATTGGGCATGTCTGCTTTTCTTTCAGCTCTATGCCTTATACATCTGCTACATCCTAATGGCGTATCATGGGCTGTTCGTTGGGAAGCTGCAGCTTTCCCTTTCCCTCATCCCTGCCCAGGCACTGGGCTGAGCTCTGGTTTCACCTAAAGGCAAACGATCTGCGCCAAGGAACAGCGCTTTCAGAGACCCCTTGCGCCCATACAGCCCCCTCTGAGCCGCGTGCTGCTCCCTCACCTTCCTGGGTGCATGCTTTGGCTGACAGGGATCTCTCCTTTCCCGACCTGTAGACCGCAGTCACTGTCACCAGGTAGGTCGTGTTCGCTGCCAGGTTCTCCACCACGGTGCCGTTGTGCTCAGCGCCCACCTCCAGCAGCCGCGCCGAGTTCCCAGGCAATGGTCCATACAGCACCTGGTAGCTCACCACGCTGGCCAGGGTAGGAGCCCAGCTCACACGGAAGCTGTGCGGGCCAGACTCTGAGATGAAAACCTGAGCTGGGCTTATTTCCTCTGAAAGCAATGGGTAAGGATGTGAGTGAGTAGGTAATAGGGGTGCTGGGGAGGGACTCTTCATTAGGGACTGTAGTGGCAGGACAAGGGGGAACGGGTTAAAACTGAAACAGGGGAAGTTTAGGTTGGATATAAGGAGGAAATTCTTTCCTGTGAGGGTGGTGAGGCACTGGAATGGGTTGCCCAGGGAGGTTGTGAATGCTCCATCCCTGGCAGTGCTCAAGACCAGGTTGGATGAAGCCTTGGGTGGCATGGTTTAGTGTGAGGTGTCCCTGCCCATGGCAGGGGGGTTGGAACTGGATCTTAAGGTCCTTTCCAACCCAAACTATACTATGATTCTATAATCCAAGGCATAAGAACACCAGTTGCTACTCAGCATAAATCCAAGTTACTCTCCTGGCCCAAATGACTGCATGGAGTCTGCACAAAGGGGCTGGATTCTGCTCCGAGCGTTCCCCCTCTCCTTGCCTCTTGCACTGGGATTCCCCATCAGTGGCCACACCTGCAACCTCAGGTAGGAGACAGGCATCTCCTTGTGCTCAAGCCACAAGAGTCAAACTTCCCCTTTGGCAGTAATCCACCCAAGGCAGTGTTGCTTCTGCCTCACCAGCATGCTGGGATAGTGAGTACATGCACCAGCCTGTGCTTTACCCCCAGTGGGCTCTCCACCTGCTAAATACTTACAAGTTGAAGCTCCTGCCTTCTGTGCTCAGGGCAATAGGCTCTGCTTTACTCTAGAGTCATACATTAAGGTACAAGGGTTGGATCTTACGACCATCAGACCTGATCCCCTGTGCTGGACAGTCCAGGACATCTCTAAGCAAAAAGCTGTTAGCTGGGTGCCAGCATAAAGCAGCCTTTCTGTTCTGTCCTGACCACAACCATCTGCCTCCTTCAGTGAGGCCGTGAGGCTGTGGGATGCAGACCAAGGGCTGTCCCAGTTGCTTTATATATATATACACACACATATATACATATAATAGGGCTATATATACATATATATACACACATATATACATATGTATATATACACATATAATAGGGCTATATATAATATACATATATGTTGTATATTATATATTATATACTATATATATAATATATTATATTATATATTATATTATATATGTATATATACACATATATACATATACGCATATAATAGGGCTATATATTTTATTATATATATTATATTATATAATATAATAATTTATATTATATATATAATATAAAGGGCTATATATAATAATTATATATATATAAAAAAAACTTTCCCAGTTGCTTTATATATATACACACATATATACATATATATATATATATGAGGCTCAGCACAGTGGAGACTTCCCCCTTGGTCACAACTGTGCACGTTTTACCTGCCAGGGTAGTGACCCTTGTTGTCTGCGGAGGGACGTAGTGGACGTTGGATTCAGGAATGAGTGCCACCTCGTACGCGGTTTCTGGTGCAAGGTTGCTTAGCATGAAGCTCGTGTGAGCCCCGGACACTTGATCTGCCCTCTTCCTTGCTAGATCACCTACTGGGGCATACTCCAGGGTGTAGTAGCCGGTCTCTTGGGAGAGGAGTTTGGGCCACACCAGGCGGAAGCTGCTGGAGGTGATATCGACTGCATGGAGCCGATTTGCTTGGATGACGTCTGGAAGAGAAAGAGAGGGAAGAGATCACTGCTGACAACACCAGAACACAGCACATTGAAAACACAGGCCCTTCTGGAGGGGAGGTGCAGCCCCCAGCGCCACTGGGTCACAGCTGGGGTCTCCTCTTCATAGCATCACTGCCCCAGCTTTCTCTCCCTGCCTGTATGCAGTGGCCAGGAAGAAGGGGCAGCAGATGAGCACTGCCCAGCTGCATTCATCCCGCCTGCAGTCGCTCCCGGCAGCGTTCCACAGAGCCCCATTGTTCTGGGACGTTCAGCATTCAGAGCTGCTCTTGCTCCATCCCACCTCTCCCCACCCCTGCACCCAGGCTTGTGCTACCTCTGAGCTCCAGCCCCCAAGTACAGACAGCAACACCTCTTCTGATGCCCCACAGCTCCCCAGCTCCTCCACTTGACCCTGCTGACACACATGAGCCCATCTTGGGCAGGATTCCACTCTTCCCTGGCCTTCCAGAGGGACAAACACACAGGAGGTTGTTTCTGGCTCCGGGGAAGTGGCGTATGAAGACAAAGATGCTCTTGTTCTTTTCTTTAAGGGTGTTTGAAAGCACCCTGAGCCTTAAAGAAGTGCATTTGCTCACTCCTGAGACCTTATGATGGTACCAAGCTTAACTACTTCGCAGAGTACTCTAAGGAGCTCTCCGAGAGTAAAGGAAGGCACAAGAGTCTGCCCAGACCTGCAAGGGAACAGGGGTTATCCCAGCACTCCCAGCCGTGTCCTGGAGCAGATCATCCCTCCTCCTCCAAGTGCCTGCCAGCTTCCCTGTACCAAAGAGAGCAGCCTCACTTTTTCCTCTGAGCTGTTCCTTGGCTCTCCCAGGCAGGCAGGAACATTCCCCCTTCTCCTGCCTGCTCCCAGCCAGCCCCGCTCCACTCAGGGAGAGCTTGGAGGAGGCAGCACCATGGGGCTTGGGGCACTGCACCCCTCTCTGAGCCCCACAGCCACCAGTGGCCAAGCCACAGAGGAACGGGGAGCAGAGGAAAGGCCTTAGCATCACCAGTGCTGCCAAAGGCTCCTGGAATGGGAATGAGGGAGTTTGGAGGCAGTGAATAACGGAGGCAGATTAAAGGGACACGGTGCGGCACCCGAGGGATGTGCAGCAGAAAGCCCACAGCACCCAGCTCCATAGACTGCGGATGCCTTGAGCACGTAAAGAGAGCCATAAAACCCCTAGAAAATGGATGCTCATAGTGTTCAGAGACGGCCTGTGACACACTTGCCTTCTACCTGCTTGGTGACTCGAAGCAGCAGTTTGAAGCCACATGAAACAGGGATGCTGCTGCTTTCATGATGAGTGTAAGAAACACAGCCGGGCAGCAGAGGAGCCTGTTCCAGCTCTGGGGACAGGATTGCCTCTTGCAGAAGCTTCAGCTAGGAACTGGGACAAATCACACCACTTCATTGCTCTACGTCCATGCTTTAACACGGATAGGGTCAAAGTTCTGATTCAGGGAGGGGGATCACAACTTCCTCATTACCAGGGTGGACATTCAAGGTCTGAGATTGCTCCCTGGAGTCACCTGCTTCTGTTCTGCTCTAAGTGAATGTCAGAGGGTGCAGGCTCGAAGCCTTCACTGCAGCAGAAGCTATGCAGGACCTCGGTTCAGGTCAGGAATGTGTTGCCCTGGAGACGGATGGGAAGTGGCTGATGTTTTGTGACTGCTCCCAGGTAGGCTCCTGCAGAGCTTGGCTCAAAGATGGTGCCAAAGGATGGAACAAGTGAGCAGTTCTTAATCCAGCAAGTGGAGAGCAAGTGGGCGCTAGCACAGACCCTGACGTCAGCTCCAAGGAATGCCTTGGGTTTACAAGGTCCTTCCCAAGAAGCCTGGGATCATTGTGTTGGAATATCTATGGAGCAGGCATGAAACGCTGTTCCTGGGTAGGAGGTGGAGGGAGGAGAGCAACTCTTGGCAGAGCTTGTCTGTGCATTACAAAAGGCTTTTCAACAGTAGCAAGAGATGGGGACAAGATAGCAGCGAAATAAAACCAGTCTGGACCATTCCAGAGCTGGAAAGGCCTAATGTCTGCCTGCCAAGGATCCTGGCTATCCCTGCTATCCCAGGGGCCAGAAACAGGAAGGGAGTGAAGAGGGCTGCCTCCTCCAGGAAGGGAAGAGTGGACACATGGGGCTTTATCCAGGCTAATTCAGGGGATGCTACCAGAGTCTGATGTTACCAAAATCCAGGCACCAGCCTCTGAATGCATGTGGGAATCTCTCCATCCATTCAAATCCCAGACTAGTGACTTGTAGACCTGGTGGCTGCACAGAACAGTGCCCTTGGACGCAGCAGGGTGTTTATTACCTCTGCAGATCCTCAAGTCAACCTTGTGCTGCAAGGATGCACAGGTGATTTCTCATTTTGGGATGCTCTTTTCCACCCCCTGGCCTCAGGATGCACTAGAAGCTCAAACAGCCACGTGAAACAAAGCATCTGGGGTTGTGTGGTGGCTGGTCCAGCGGCTGGTCCTGCCCCATGCTCACAGAGGGGAGATGTGGATGGGTGGAGAACATGGTCCCTGCCTGCCATCTGTTAAGTGATCACTGGAAATAGGAATGGCTCCACACAGAGGGTTTGTGGAAAGGGTTACTTGGACGCTCCAAAGCCAGCTCTAACCAGCTCCCATAGCAGCCAAATGAGGGCTTAAACCAGGGGTTTCCAATGGAGAGAGAACCTCCAGGAAAAAGATCAATGGAAAGTCTGCAGAGTCATAGGAACTCACTCGGCTTTCCAAGCAAACCCAGGGGGATCTGGGAGGCAGAGGCAACCACAGGCACTCCCACCGTGCTGGCACGGAGGAGCTGCAAAGAGAACACGCTCTGCGCAGTGCAGCATGCGGATCAGCATGAGGTGTTCCTCTTGGCTCCCTAACGCCTGTCGTCTGGCCCGGATGAGGGCTTTGGGTCTGCTCAGAGCCTTTCCTGGATGCTCTAAGGAGCAGGATTGCTGAGGATCAGCTCTGTCTGTTCCTGCTCCCTGCACAGCAACGGCCACGACCACGTTAGCAACACAGAGGTGGTGGCTGGCCTGCTCTGCCTAACAAGTCAGGGCTGGGGTTTCCTTCCAAGGGCTGTGCTGGCCAAGTCAAGCTATAGATCTGGCAGATGTGGAACGTGTTCCAACAGGGGAGCTATGGAACAAAACCGTTCCCCTCCCACAGCCTTCATGCTGACAGCCAGCACCATCCCTAATTGCTCTCTGTAAGAGAGCAACTGCCAGGTACTTGCAGGCAGGAGTTAGACATCTCAGTGTGTGCCAGCCACTGTGCTCACGCACAATGGTGTATGTAGGGCATCAGATCTACCCCAGACTAGGGGCTGAGGGAGCTGAGAGGACCAAATCCTTCCCAGGCACGCGCATCCCATTGCGGGTGTGCATTTGTGACCTCCACCTCCCTCAGGTGGCTCATAACCAGACAGCACTACAGAGAACACAAACCACCCTGAACGGAGGAATCATAGAATCATAGAACAGTCAGGGTTGGAAAGGACCTTAAGATCATCACATTCCAACCCCCCTGCCATGGGCAGGGACACTTCACACTAAACCATGGCACCTAAGGCTCTGACCAACCCGGCCTTGAACACTGCCAGGGATGGAGCATTCACAACCTCCCTGGGCAACCCATTCCAGTGCCTCACCACCCTCACAGGAAAGAATTTCCTCCTTATATCCAATCTAAACTTCCCCTGTTTCAGTTTGAACCCGTTCCCCCTTGTCCTGTCACTATGGTCCCTAATGAAGAGTCCCTCCCCAGCATCCCTATAGGCCCCCTTCAGATCCTGGAATATACTGAATACATCTAAACTAAATACAACACTTCTAGTACCAATTGGGATATTTACACTGTCAGCTATCATCACAAAAGTCCAAGGGGCTTGGGTACCTTGCTCCCAGCCTTTGCTGGAGCCTATTCATTGCCTGTTGGGGAAGTCTCTGGTTAACAATTAACCTGTGCAGCTGGGGGCATTCCCATGCTACGCTTGACTCACATGGATGTCTGAACAGTTCCAGTTCAAAGCCCTGAGGGGGTTTTAAGGAGCCCAGGTAATACACTGCTTGAGCCTCCTTCCTCTACTGACACCTGAACGGCTCACTACAAACACAAGGTCATCTCACCAACAGAAGGGGATTTGTCCCACTCGGTTATGGGACATCCCAAGGGGAATAGAGATACTTGTCCCAGACCTCCTAAAAGCCTTGCTTTATGATTAGACTGTGGACAAAGCACCTCAGTTTGCGAGGGCAGCAGCTGTGGCTCAGGAGGACCATTGGGTTTAGGGGATGGCCTGCCCTGCAGAGCCAGGCATTAACTCCCATTCAGCCACTCTTCAAGCTCCCGTTGACCGCAAGCCAACCGCACCGTACCTCGGATGGAATCTCGCAGCTCCTTGGTGATGATGGTCAAGTCATCCACGTCCACAAAGTGCAGGTGCTTCTCCGGAGGCTGGCTGGCAGCAGCAGAGAGCTCCAGGTAGTTCCCTCGTCCCGTGCTGACGATGAACACCGTTACCCCCATGTCCTTCAGGAGCTGCATGGGTTCGGAGATGTCGTCAGTGGAGAAACCATCCGTCACCCAAACCAGTACCTTGGGCACATCAGGCCGGGCACCAGCTTCACCACTGAAGAGCTTCTCCTTGGCATAGGAGAGAGCTTTGCCTGTGTTGGTGTCACCCATGAGCTGCCGAGTGTCCCGGATGGCTTGGTGTAGAGTCCGGCTGGACTGGTACCGGTCAAAGGGGAACTCCATGGTGGGCATAGTGCTGATGTGGATGATGCTGGCCTGGACGTCTTTAGGGCCAAAGGTGAAAGGTTGCACAAGGTCCCACATGAATTCCTTCACCCTGGAAAACTCATAGTAGGAGACGCTGCCAGAGCTGTCCAGCAAGAAGAGGAGATCCCCCTCCGAGTTGGAAACAGAGGGCTGGGGACCTAGGCAGGGGAGAGAGGGAGGTGTAGTAGTGGAATGATGTGAACAGGCGTCTGCTTGGAAAGCTTGCTCGTCTTTGCCCAATCTCAGGGTTCAGTGGGAATTTTGCTGGGCAGAGACTTTGGGATTTGCTCCCTTTAATTATTATCGTTATTTGCATGCAGTGTGAGGGCTCCTGGGCTTTATTCCAGGAGCTTCTCCCCCCATCTCCCTGGCACCCCACGTCCCCTCATTGGGAAGCTTTGCTTCGCTTCTGACACTGAAGCATTGCCCAGATTGCTCACCAGCTGTTCCCTTAACACCTTTGGTTTTAAGGTACGTTGCCAATAGAGCTGGAGGAGAGATGCCCTGGACATCACACTGCGGAGCATACTCCAAGCACTTCCACACCACGCTCATGCGGGACCTGGAAGCACTGCACAAACTTACCCAGCCTCACGACAGGCTTTGCAGGCACTGGTTATCAAACCATGGCGCATAAAGTGAAAGGCCAGGGCGGTGGAAACAGGCAGGAGCTGAGGCACAGGAAGCAGGGTAGAGTTAAAAGTACAACCCAGGAGTGCTGGATCCTGCTGAATGCCTCCGAGCTCCATCAGCTCGCACCGACACCTCTTGTTACACACCAGCCCGCTGATCCTCCCTGCTTTCTGCTCCAGGCTGGAGGTGGACGTGTTCCAGGAGCTGGGAACATTCCTCACCAGCCCAAGTCAGCGGGACAGTGCCCTGTGCCAGGCAGCAGCCTCTGCCATCCCCCTGGGGCCATGAGACAGCAGCAAACTGCTGGTCCCAAGCAATTGCCAAGGCGAGGAGCGATGTTAGAGCCTAACCCAGCTCCCCAGGTTTATCCCATCTGAGGGCAATGGAAGTGCCTGGAGCCGAACCGGAGGAGAATGGGAAGATAAAGAAGCTTGATGAGGAAACCTGCTGGCTCTGCTGGCCCGGGAGAAGGCTGCTGCTTCTCAGAACTGGCTGCGGCTCGGTCCACACAAGCCTGGCAGGAAGCTCCTGATTTATACCACTGGAATGGAGGGACTCCTCCCTACAGCACTTGCTAAGAGCCAGGCGCATCGGATGCTTCCCTGCTCTTCTGGATGCGCATTGACCTCCGCTCCCGGACGGTCTCAGAAGCAGCATCCCAGAGAGGCTCAGGGTGTCTGGGATGGGGCTGCGAGACCCATTTGTGCAGAAGAATGCAGTGCACCAAGAAGAGCGTGCTTTGAGGGTGTGAGCTGGAATCCCACCCCGCTTCACTCATTTCCTTACCATTTCAGCTACTCTGCTGCATGGGGAGCACACACACACACAGGGGGCTCCTTCTGCTTCTCTTAGGGCTCCAGAGATTACAATAGCTGGACTGTCAATAGTGAATTTGGAACCCTATTCACCCCCACCCAGCTTTGGAGGTGCAGGAAGGGAGAACAAGCCTTGGCCTAGAGATTCCTGCCTGCCCTTTTGAGCTCCTCTATCAGTGAAGGGATCAGGACCATGGAGTGGTCAAGCAATGTGAGCTATGGAGCACAGACGGAGCTGGTGCAGCACTCGAGCCATGTGGGAGCCAAACCCACAAGGCAGCATAGAGCTGTATGGAAAGGCTCCCAAACTGTTACTAGCTCCAGGCAGACCCCATGCAGACACTGCAGAAAGCCATGGCAAGGTAGGCACAGGGATGGCAATGAGCCTGGCAGAGATGGGCAGGGGTTGCTAAAGCCTGTCTGGGGCACTGCTCCAGGAGGCAGATATGGGATGGCAAAGCCAAGAGGAGGGAAAGGACAGGGCCGGGGACAGTGAGTAGGTACAAGGGGTCTGTTACATGTCCTGGCTGCTGGGAGTGGGACCTGCCATCTACACGGGTTACAGCCAGCTCTGCATGACCCAGCCCAGCTCAGCCCTGTGTTACACACACCCAGTAACCAACCCTCCTTGCCCATAGCAATGTGCAGTTTCACCACCCCATCACCCCGATGAGCTGAACCTGTGACCTGCAGGTCCCTGGCCCTGCTTCCTGGAGCTCCCTACCTCCTAATGGCATTCCAGCAGGGCAGAGCAACAAGGGCTTCTGGCTGCATGAAGCAAGTCACGCACATGCAGCCATGCCCCTATGCTTTCCCCTCCACTGGGAGTAGTACAAGCCATTTGGTTGGATTTCAAGCCATAAGGAGAGACCTGGCCACCAGGACTGCTGCCTCCCATGAGGAAATCCCTGTTTCTCCTCACTGCTTTGAGCAGTGACACTGGTGTCCCTAATGTTGCACCAAGTGGGCTGTGAAGGTTTCTGACCCTGGCAGGGAAGGGAGCAATGGCTAAAGGACGTTCACTGATCACAGCCGGAAAACTGGGTCACGGGCACCAGCACTTGGGATGCACCACAAGCAGAAACCCATCACAGCCAGAGCTACCGGTGCAGGGGAACACAGGGGTGAAAGCCAGCACAAGAAGGCTCTGCAGGAAAAGCCACTGCTTGACACCACATTCTGCCTGGAGGGTAGAAAGCATTGGTTAACAACCGGTTAACAACTGGGTAACAACGGGATAGCAACTGGTTAACAACATGTTAACAACCGGTTAACAATGGGATAACAACTGTTTAACAACCGGCTAACAACCAGTTAACAACAGGTTAATGACATGTTAACAACCGGTTAACAACTGGTTAACAATCAGTTAATAACCAGTTAACAACAGGTTAACAACATGTTAACAACCGGTTAACAACTGGGTAACAACTGCTTAACAACCGGTTAACAACTGAATAACAACTGGTTAACAACCAGTTAACAACAGGTTAATGACTGTTTAACAAACTGTTAACAACCGGTTAACAACTGGATAACAACTGGTTAACAATCGGTTAATAACCAGTTAACAACAGGTTAACAACATGTTAACAACCGGTTAACAACTGGTTAACGACTGGATAACAACTGGTTAACAACTGGATAACAACTGGTTAACAACTGGATAACAACTCATTAACAACTGATTAACAACTGGATAACAACTGGTTAACAACCTGTTAGCAACTGGATAGCAACACAACCGGTTAGCAACTGGTCAACAACTGGATAACAACCGGTTAACAACTGCCTAACAACTGGTTAACAACCAGTTAACAACCGGTTAACAACTGGTTAACAGCAGCAGCAGCCACACTGCTGGGCAGGTATGCGCTCTGGAGCTGCGGGTGGAGCAGGAGGCTGATCCTTCATGCCGGCAAACACCATCACCCGCACCTCTGCTCACCACGGCCCTGCCTGAGGTGGAACAAACCCCTCCCGGTCGGGTTTTGTCAGCAGCAAGGATCCATAAAACACCTCGAGAAGGGATGCGGCAGCGCTTACACGGAGCCGCACTCTCCACCATCCAGGGTTGGCTTTTCAATCCCTCATCTTTCGTCCTGCCCTTTGTCCCCCCTCCAACACAAACATGCCAGCCGTGCCAGAGGTGGGGCTGCTGAGGTTTGTTACCAGTAAATCCCTGCATTACGCAAGCAGCCGCTGCTTTCAAGCCCTTTGCTCTGCACAAGGAAGATGTGCTGTTTGGCAAGAGGACAGGGGCAGAGATGTGGAGAGAAGGAGCCCCCATTAGCCAAGGAACAGCCCTACAGAGCTCCTGTCATTGCTGCTGCTGTGCTCCAGGGCAGGGAACAGAGCACACGGCAGCATCCCGTTGTCCTCCGCGAGCTGACACGCGGGCAATAGGCACGGATCGGACATGCAGAGAGCAGCATTTTGAAGGGAGCAAAATGTCACCACGGAGTCACGGCATTGCCTATCGGAAGGCTTGGCTTTTCCAAGGGAAAAGCAGCTGGTCAGACTTCCCTGACAGCGAGATGCTGACAGCAGACATCCGCTTATAGAGATCCCTGCGCTCTCTGCTGGGGCCTGAGCACACGCCTGGCTTCCATGGGGCTTGGAACTCGCAGAGCATAAAGGGTTCAAGAGCCAAAACCAGATCGTGTCCTGTCTTGGTGAACTGTGCTCAAAATTCCCTTTGCCTTCCCTTCTCACTGCTTGCTCATGCGAGGAAAAGGCAGGTTTGGAGGCTGGAGAACACAATCTGTGCTCCCCTGTGGCCCCTTGGGATCGCAGTGAGAGGCAGGAGGAGCAAGGCACTGCCTCCTCCAGAGAGGTATCCCATCACCCGGGAGCTGTTTGACACGGAAAGCCACAGCAGGGAAGCCTGTGCTGTGGGAAGCAGCTAGATAACCTGCCCTAGTTAGGGAGCTGAGCCCCACCAAGCAGCATATACTGGTGTGACTAAAAGCCCAAGCTGCCTGTGCAGGTTCCAGCTCGTCTGTGCCACAGATCACAGGCTGGATGGTGAGAAATGGCCCTTCAGACAAATTCCTCCGCAGGAAGGAAGCTGCGTTGCCATCTCCTATGATCTTTTCAGGACTTTCCCTGTCTCTGCTGTCTTATTTAGAGCCTCAGAGTGCTGGAAGTGTGGAATTGTGCTGGGTCCTGAGCTGTGCTTCCGAGCTCAGCAAGTGCAGGGCCCTCTACAGAGCGCCTATGGATGCTCTGTGCCTGTTTTTCACTTGCTGCACCCACAGAGACAGCGACATCCCCATCATTTACTGCTGGTGCTGGTCCAGGGTAACCGGGAAACAACAACTTAAGCTCCATTTATCAAAGCCCAGACTACCAAATGTTCGTACTTCACACTGATGCAACAGGGGTCTGAAGCTGGACCTAAAGAGGAAAGCAGGGGAACTGACCATGTGCCTTAGCACTAAGTCAGTGGCCATCACCCTGAAGAAGTCAATCATTCCTGAGCACGTACAAGCACCGCTGGCCCCCAGCTTCCTCCCTTAGTCCACTGCAGCTGAGAATAAAGCCACAATCACCCACCCTCAGCCAAGACCCTAGGGAACAGCTATGAAGATGCTCCTGCCACTGTGTGCCCAGGGCACAGCCCCACGGCACCTCCAGGCCAGGGCTGCCCACGCCCGGGGGCCCTGCCAGCCCGGCTGTTTGCTCAGGGTGGCTTCAGGGAGCACCCGGGAGGAGCCCAGGAGGCCCCACATCAAAGCCGCTGGCCATGGCCCCTTGCCCACCAGCAGGTTCATTTCCTCTGAGGGTGCTCGGCAGCCTGCGAGCAGTCAGCACGCCCATAGCACCGCACACACGGCTTTGACCCTGGAGCCAGGCACAATCCCTCTGGAAAGCCTTGGCCCCCCTTTATCCCGTGCTCTGAAGGTCCCAGCATTGCTTTTAGCCCGGGCTGGGCAGTGGCCACACACCAGCCCCCCACCATGGCAGCAGAAACGCAGGGCAATAGGAATAACTGCTGCCTGTGGGCTCAGTGAGCATCGTGCCAGCACCATTCCTGAGCCAGCCTGTGTCTCTGGGGAACAGAATCCAGCACCCTGTAAGGGGATCTGAGCAATAGACACAGCCTGCTCTGCTACCAAAGCAAACCAGACCCTGTCTGAGCTGAGGACCTGCTGTCCAGACAGACCAGAGCTTCCCTTCTCCTTTCGCACTGGATTACATCGCCCAGGTGCAGGCAAAGCCAGATGCAGCCAGCGGGAGCCCTGCAGTCAAAGAGCAGAACCTTCTTTTGCTTGTGAGCACAGTAACTGCATCAGCTCGGCCCCCACGATGTGGGCTCTGTGTTCTGCCCAGTGCCACAGTGCAGGACCCACAAGTGAGACGTTCATCTCCTCTGTGTCCCTTTCCCCCCCCATCAGTTCTGCAATGCTGACCCACAGCCATTCTCCCTGAACAGCATCCAAAAGAAAGCATTTAAAGGGGGACATGATGATTGAATGACAGAGATTAGCAGCAGACCGACAAGGCAGGTATAGTATCAATCACTATTGGTACTTCTCTTCATGTAACAGTGAGGAATGAGGACCTTTTCCATATGGTTGCACTGAAGTGCAAGTTTCTGCATCAGTTTTTTCTGCTGGAAACAAGCAAGAAACAAGATAACACACGAGTGCAAGCAGACACCTAAAGCAGCAACACAACTTCAGCTTTTATTCTGAAAAGGCTTACTGGGAAGCCCTTAAGGACCAGGAGGTATTAAAGGGGAAGGAAGCACTAAGGAACCCCCTTGTCTTTCCAGGCACTCACCTCTCTCAGGTGTGTTCTGTCCCGCAGCCAACTGCAGCCACAGACCAAGAGAAAGCACTGTCTTGGCCAACATAGCAACGTCTGGACGAGGGCAAACTACCTTAAATCCAAAAGCCCGGCTCTGGGAAGGCAGATGAAAGGCTTCAGATCAGTCATAGTACGTGCAAGGATCCACCGGATCCCAGGGTGCCCCTTGCGCGCTGCTCATGCCTCGGGATCCGACTGCTTCTTTACGTGTGTTTGGCCGGGCTGGGGTGGAAGCGCTGGCTCCTGTAGGCAGTTTTCCTTCTCCCCCCCCTTTTAAAGCCATAAATCCATGCTGACAGGAATAGCTGGAGGAGAGGCACAAACAGCACCCCCGCTGCTGCTCCTCTCCCGACTGCAGCTTGCCCCGGGAGCGCGGATTCAGCCTGCGTGCAGCTGGGCTGCTCGGGGGAAGAGATCCCTGCAGAGAAAACTTGGGCCCTGCAAGACCCTGGCAGCAATCCAGCTACTGGGAGGGAAAGAGCGAGCAGCTCGGAGAAATCCAAAGCTGCTTTGCTCTGGAATGAACTGGAAGAAGGAAAACCACGTATATAGAGGAAAGAAGGAGCCAGGCTGCGGAGCGTGCCCTGCCCTGGGAATAGTGGCTAATCCGCAGGGAGGAGGCTCCCCAGGTCCTAGCGCTCCCCAACGTGTGTCCCTGCCCCTGTGCTGCCCCATGGGGCTGAACGCGAAGGGTACAAAGCAAAGAGCTGTGCCCTAGGGAGAGCAGGAGGCACCGGGCAGCACGGAGCCTGCAGGAAGCACCCAGTGGGGAGAGTCAGTGCATCCAAAGGGGCATGGAGCAACGCTCTGTGCAACGGGTGAATGCGGCAGCCTGCTGCGTCCTCCCCCCTGCACTGGGGCATTAAATACACCCCCAAGTCTGACTTCTGAGCCAACGGGGATTCATGGGGCTGAAGATAAATCTGTGACCAATCTCTTCCTGGATGGAGGGGCAGAAGAGCTTGGCAGTGAGCGCATACCAAGGATGTTCCACCTTCACTGGCATGTGGCTTCTCCATTCCCCTGTATGCAGGAGGCTTGCCAGAGCAAAAGATGGACCAAACCTAGTTCACCCAGTTATGAAGACACTAACCAATTGTCCTCTCCCTTAATAATGGGGAGTGACCCACGAGAGAGGCTAAGAAGCAGCCAAGAAGGAATGTTTAGAAGCCTGTAGGATTTCTGGAACCCATGAGCAAGATTTCCTCTACTTTGATTACCTCTCTCCTGGAAAGAGTGACCCAAGGAGCCGTGCGGGGTGGGAGGAAAGTTGTATCCATCCTCATCAGCTGAATGGAAAGTCAGAACAGCTCCAAGAAACCATGGATTCAGTCAGCTTTCCTGGGCACTTGTCTGTGTTTCCCCTCCCAGTCTGGTACCCAGCTGCATCACTAAGGAGCCTCCCAACAGCGGGTTGTATGGTACCTCAATCTCATGTAACACAGCCCTACATGAGGGACAGCCTCACCCACCCATTCATGCAGGCTGGGATAAGCATTATCCCAGACAATCAGGCACTCTGCTCTCATACCAAGAGCATATAACTTGTGAGATCCTTCTCCTTGTCGGAGTTGGGCTGATTTAGCAGCACTCATGGTGAAGTCAGTAGGAAGTGCAGGTTCTCTAGCAGGGAAGCCTCACTCTGGAGTCTCATTTGGCAAGCAAGCATCCAGGGAAGAGTTACACAGCACAGCACAGCAAGGCACACCGTGGTCTAATTCACCAATCTGAGCAAATTCACTGATGCCCATTGCACAGAATCACATTCAGTGCAGCTGCTGATGTGACAGCAGCCAAGAAGGCAAAAGGCTTTCCAAGCCACTGCTGAGTGAAGTGCTCGTTCAGTCGCATCCTTGTTCTCTGCTGGCCAATGCATCCTCGTTGCTGTTCTCACACTGGTTGTGTTCTGGGTCTGGGATGTGGAAGGGATGGGCTGGAGGAAGCAAGTGTTGCCCTGCTGCAAACCATCTGCTTCCCATCAACTAACCTAGACCTCCATCTGCCCCTGTCCTGGCCTATCCCCCTTATACCCCACTGCCCAACAGCTGGCACAGAGAAGTGACAAAGATAGCCAGCTAGAGATGCTACAGGTCTGGCTCCCTGGGCTCACAGATGCATGTTCAGAGTCCCTTGGGGGGGGGCTGGTAGGTACCTGGTGGTGATTTCCTTCCATTACTCACTTCCCAAGGAAGTCTTTCCACGGAAGGGTTGCTCATCTTAGAATAATTCCCCTCTTAGTCAGTTTATCAATGCGAACACCATTCACACCCTGCAGCCTGGAGACGTTTCAGCCTTTATCTCCCTGTGAGCCCTGCTGGGATAGGTGGAAGCAGGAAAAAACAGCCTGGAAAATCATCAGATCTTACACAATTTGGGTTTGTTTTTACGCTTTCCTGTAACTGATAGGTCCTGTTTCCAGTAAGGCTGGTGCAGGCACGTGCTGCCTCTTGCCTGGTGGCATCCTGCCCTCTGAAGCCAGCTCTGCCACTGCAGGTTTGCTCCTGTTTAGATGAGAGCAGAACCTGGATACAGGTCTCAGCTTGGGCTCAGCTCCCTCTCATGTTCGCCATCTTTCATTGTCCTGACTGGAATTCACTCTGGGTCATCCTCACGTCGCCGTGGCCACGGTACAGACTAGCTCAGAAGCAATCCATCACTGTAAAAGTACAACCAAAACTCAACTGAGAGCTGCCACCACCCAATCCACTCTACTTGGAGCGTGGTATTATCAAGACCCAGACATGTCCCCACGCATCCTGCCCAGCACAAACCTCAGCCCCACGGTTCTGAGCTCTGCAGCTGCCCTGACATTCAGGGGATGCCAACAATACAGAGCTTCTGAAGGGATGCGATATCCTCTTGGAGACAAACCCCTGCAGCTGGAACAAAGAGGCTTTTGGGAACACAGCCTTTATTCAGCTCTACACAACAGTTTTTGTTTGGAGGGGCTGTTCTATATAAGGCCATTTGGAAAATCCCTGTTTGGAAAGGAAGCAAAGCAGCCCTGGGAGAATGATGAAGGAAGTTTCCTCTTGAGCTCCAGGGAAAGGCTGTGCAGCCCAACACGCTGCTCGTAACCCAACCTGAACGCATGCACCAGGGTCTTGTGCTGCAAGGCAGGACCCCTGCCAGCTCACGGTGACACAGGAGGTGCAGATAGGGACTGAAGCATGCAGGTTTCCCTCCGTACACTGACCCCGGGTGGCTCACCTGCCTGCCCCACCGTGTACAGCATTAGGCTGGAGACCTCAGAGCAGCCTTCCAGTGTCTGAAGAGGGATGAATAGGGATGCTGGGGAGGGACTCTTCATTAGGGACTGTAGTGACAGGACAAGGGGGAACGGGCTCAAACTGAAACAGGGGAAGTTTAGATTGGATATAAGGAGGAAATTCTTTCCTGTGAGGGTGCTGAGGCACTGGAATGGGTTGCCCAGGGAGGTTGTGAATGCTCCATCCCTGGCAGTGTTCAAGGCCAGGTTGGATGAAGCCTTGGGTGACATGGTTTAGTGTGAGGTGTCCCTGCCCATGGCAGGGGATTGGAACTGGATGAGCTTAAGGTCCTTTCCAACCCTGACTCTTCTGTGATTACACAGCTCCTGGCTGCCTGGGCTGCCCTGAGTGCAGAAATGCCCCTGTGTAAGGCAGCAGAGAGGCTCCGGCCCTGTGTGGTCAGGTCTCAGTTAACATCTCGCATCTCCAGCCTCAAGTCAGCTCTTATTTTGGCTTCACTTGGAAGACAACCTACAAAAATAGACGTGTTTACTCCCTGCCTTCACCAAAGCCGCCCGATGACTGGGAATGACTCCGCAGTGAGGTCAGGTCTAGCTTATAGATGATCTCTTGCAGCCCAAAGCATCCTAAAAGTCACCCAACGCAAATACCCAGCCACTGCTGGGGTGCGGTGCTGTTGCTTGCAGCAGTGTTACCCCGAAGCTTAGGCTATGTGAGAGGAACTTACCCTGGAGCAAAGCAACCACCCAGGTTAGTGTCAGCATCCTGGCAAAGGCAGCGTTAACACTGAAGGCTTGGCTGCAGGGTTACCAGGACCCTCTTAAAAACAGCCTGATAACAGCCAGCAATAACAGAGCTCAGAAACAGTGCCAGGGATGGGCATTCCTGCTGCTTCCCCTGCAGCCAGCACACGGCATCCCCCTCTTCTTCCATCCACACTTGCAGCAGCCTGTTTCAAATGAAGGCATTTATGGCACACACAAACGTGTCTCTGAGTCTCCAAGCAGTTGCCTGCTCATGTGAAGGGCTTCGGTTCCCTCTGGCTCTTGGACAGCAGACGCTTTGCTCCTCGGGTTTTATGGGACCTGGACGACACGGGCTTGAGTGAGCACGGAAGGACTCAGCTCCAGTGCTGCCTCTTGTCGTTTCGAACCTGCATTGGAGCCGTGGGCAACGTTATTGCAGAGAAACGCAATGCAAAAGGAAACGGCGATCGCGCTGCGCCAATTTACGCTGAGGATTCGCATCACTTTAGGTGGAGAGGGAGCAGTTTGAGCAGGGTAGCAGAGAACCCGAGGTAAACGGTGTCTCTTCACTGCACGATTCATGCCAGATTCACCAGCTGTGCCGCTGGCATCGCTCTCGGGACTCAGCCCCATTTGTCTGGTCCCTTCCTACGTTTTCCTCCCTGCTTTGGTTCTGCTAACATTGGGGACAACTGTAGCAGCCCACTAGCTCTTTGCAGTGGCATTTCTAAAGAGCATCAGAGAATGAGTGAAAGGGCACACACTTGAGTCATACCCCAGCCTTTCAGGAGTGGAGGAGCATTTAGAAGCGAAATGCCTTTTCCTTTATAAATAGAGCCATTTTCCCCGCTTTCCTCTGGGATGATGCAGTGGCTGTTCAGTGCTGGAACATGTGAGCGAGCTTCTGAAGAGCATCTTGATGTAAAGAGCATCTTGACTGCAAGTTTATAACTGGGGAGGGCTGCGTGGTGTGCTGACCCCAGCCTGCAGCAAAGAGCTGGGTCAAAGTAAGGGCAGTTTAATAAAGCAAAGCAAACTAAGGACCTTCTTCAGTACTTCCCATAGCAAACAGATGTTTAGCCACTTCCTGGAAAGCAGGGCCTCAACCCAAAGGTACTTGGGAAGACAAATGTCTTCCCACTTCCATTTCCCCATAGTTCTTACTGCTGAACACATCATACGTTAAGGAATATCCCTGTTGTCAGTTCAGGCCAGCTGTCCCAGCTGCAGCCCTTCCAGCCTCTTTGCACACTCAGTGGAGGGGGTATTGGATAGAGATGGAAAAAGAAAGCCTTGACACTGTGCAAGCAAATCAGGAGACTGCTGAGTGCAATAAAGAGCCTGCATGGGATGTTGGATGGAAGGTGATGCCTCTGCATCCTTTCCCTCACAGCATCCACAGTGCCGGGCAAGAAGAGCAGGACTTCAGGTCCTATAAGAGCAGTAGTTCAGCAAGAAGACCGTCTTCAAGGCAAGTCCAGGGGGAAAGCACTGACCTTGACACTCCTCTATCTAATCCCCTGTCCAGGACCAGAATGCTTTGAGTGCTGCCCCAAAAGTGGGTTTATGATGCTATAATTACAGTGAGCACTGCTCCTTTACCACTGGTT